GACGCGAAACTTGAGCAGGTTGGGGCCCATTTATATGGGCCCAAGACAATCCTCAACACTGAGATAACCTAGCCAAGCTAACTTTTCACTTATTTCTTTGCAAAATTCAACCAACCGTTTACATGGGGATCGCGAACCTATTTTAGGGTGCGAGACAACTGGAGTGGACAAGTTATCTCGCCTTGGCAGGTAGGTTTACCCTGGTAAGCGGGACAACTCTTCTTTATATAAATATGTTAGCTCGCCTGACCAGGAAAACTCTCGGCGTGGCGAGTGTCGCATAATGCCTAGATTTAGGATTTACATAGAAATTTGTATCAAAGAATTGAAAATTAACTCGGCAAAACCCACTATGATCAAATGACCGAGGAAAACTTAAAGAAAGAGGGATATTTGCACATTTGATTAATCAATAAGGGTTATGAAAAATCATGCAGGGTCAACTTTAACTCGACCTACAGGGACAACGTTTTCATATGTAAACGCTCGATAAAATTGCCTCATTTGGGGGGCTGTCTCGAGTATCCGAGACAAACCATGGCCCCGGCTTAGAATTAATATCGGATCAAGTTACACGCGCCGCGCTGCCTACCAAAACTTCCACAGAGGATTAAGCGGCTCTGACTTGTTTCGTTTTCTACTCGAAGAATGTTCTTCCCTATCAACTTCTTCAAGCTCTCTCTTTGCATTCTCCTGTGACGAAACCGCGCCACAAAGGTGGGCTCTCTCTAACAAAAAAACTAAGCATAAACGAACCCGAGAAAACACGCAACAACTACCTAAGTCTACAAGCATTTATTATAACAATTACACTAAAATAACATTATACCTTAAATAGGGTAACTAACAATAATACAATAAGCTAAATAATTAACCTTAATTTATTTACAAGAATATAATNTAGTGGTACAATATCAGTTATAATCCTGTTGTAAATATGATTCCTTGAAAAGCAAACTAACCTGGCGTTGATTTTTTCTTTCGTGGTTTCTCCACACGAACGATCTCCCCGTTGTTCACGATAAGCCAACCGGTGAGCTCATCGATTAGAGATTCATCCAATAAATAGTAATCTGAAAAGTACTTCTTGGTGTTAGATAAAGATATTTCATTTTTATGGCAAGTAAAGACAGCAAAGACACTTTAATTCACTTACAGCTTACCTTTCGTGTATTCAAATCGCCCGCCATTTTGAATTTGACCCGCGCACGTCAACGGTGAGTGACAAATGAGCCTCGGTCTTCCCAGGAAAGACTTCCTTATATAGCGCGCCTTCGTGACAAACAGGAGGTGGCAGAGGAATCATTCAGAAAATTTTACGGCAAACATGGCGCGGAAGACAATATTTGTAATGAAATCCAGCGCCAAATAATACGCGTAGCTAATATTTTAATGCACTGTTAAGTAAAACACCTGACATAACACTTGAATAACAGCATCTTAGGAGTGCAGACATGCTGGCACGCTAGAAGCCCTGCACTTCAGTTTTTACACATTGAAAAATTTAGTCCATACTCAGGAAGTGTCTCTCGATTTGGGGATCTGTGACGAAACCGCGCCACAAAGGTGGGCTCTCTCTAACAAAAAAAAAACTAAGCATAAACAAACCCGAGAAAACACGCAACAACTACCTAAGTCGACAAGCATTTATTATAACAATTACACTAAAATAACATTATACTTTAAATAGGGTAACTAACAATAATACAATAAGCTAGATAATTAACCTTAATTTATTTACAAAAATATAATAAACAAGCTAAATACTTCAGTACACTTAATCTATTTACAAGAATATTCCTTAAAAAAAATAGGCGTTTCCGTAGTTCAGTTCAGTTCAGTTCAGTTCACCTTGCGTCTGAAGTCCTTGTCCATGAACTTGACCCCAACAACGTTCCACCAACACACGACACACAACGAACCAATTCAAACTCCCGTTTATTACTCCCACCTTTCAACTTACTTCTTCCGACTACGTCTTCACTCAGTCCGGTTTATTTCAACTTGACTCTTCCGATTTACTCCAGCTGTCCGGTTTACAACGGCCGACTTCGACGGAACTTTACGCTTGTCCTTCGATTGCTTCGACCAGAACTTTACGCTTGTCATTCGATTGCTTCGACCAGCTATTTAGCACTCACGTTCCCCGGCAAATGGCTCTTTGTCGTGAATTTAGGAATGGTTTACTGATGGCTTCTCAGTAATGAAAATGTGCTTCCGGACGTGTTCCTGCCACTTTCTAGCCTCGCTCGTAACTACACTTCAACCTGCTTCTTCTACACACAGAAAAAACCTCTCTACACGTATCACCCCAAAAAACCCTAAATATGCAAACGCAAGGTGTTACAATCAAAGAAAGGAAAAGAAAACTATTGGTTAAGGACTAATTACAAAAGTATTGAACAGAGCTGGTTACGTAATGAAAGAATACAAATCACACAATCGAATGTTACGGAATAAATATGATTCTAAACAAGCTGTTCCTATGGGATGTAATTAAGCATTCCTTGACAGGATCCAGGCTGGAAGTTAGAAGAGCACGACAGAAG